TAGGCTAAGTTCGAATAATCGAGGAAATATTTTCAGTTGAAATAAACAAACAAAATTTCCAATAAATAGTCTTTGGTACATCATACCGAAGAATCTCGGCTACATTTTGGCATAAAGTCACATTTTTGTATGATTAACATTCCCTGATAATATCAGTTAGACCCATTGTTGTGGAGATGGGCTTAACATCAAGTAGTTCTGTTATCAGTAAATATAATGAATCATTAAATAAGATTTTATTTTCTAAAACAATCAATATTTTTGGAATAAATACAAGAATTAAAAGATTGTCAATTTTTTTGTTAATCAATCCTTGATCTGCATTTCAGCTAAACAGATGCAACAATACCCGTATAAAAAGGTGTCGGTCTACACTCAAAGTTGTTGATGAATGCTTTCTGCTAAAGATTCCAATTGTTTACTATCGTTGCCAAGTAATTCGAGGAGACGTTGACGTGCTTTCTGTACTACACCATACCACATGGTTGATAATGATGCAAAATGTGTTTCCAATATGAGAATAATAAGAGCCGAAATGAGAAATTGAGGATTATCGAATGAGGCAAAGTTTGCCAGAGGTTTGCCATTTAATCGTTCGATTATTGTCCCGTCTAATTCTCATAGCCCATCGAACTTTTGTTTGTTGATCTAGAAACGAACAATATTTTGATCATCGGTTGGCCGCATTTCCTCTTTTTCTTCCATATTGCTATAGTCTTGCTGTTCGATGAATGTATGTTCTTTTCTATTACGACTTTGCGAGAACATATGTGTAGAACTTACTATATTTTGAGATTTGTTTCTGGTTATATTGTATTCCGGTCGTAATGAGCATAATACAATATCAGACTGAATCATTGATCTACGCATCGATGACGTTTTGGACGTGGTTAGGCGGACTTTCTTAAACATCTGATATTCAGTCCGTTGCTTGAAGTTAAACTTGAAATAGGATGACGTTTTGCCGAATGCGGTCGTTGCAAAGGTTGATCATCAACTATAATTTTAATGGGCAGTTCGCGCAAGATCATTCCAGTATTGCTCATATCCGTACGTTTCTCAACACCTACAAATGTCGTACATGAACTAAGAATTTGATATTTGAGTGACAGTTCAATGATCTGTTCCTTAGTTGTATCTTGCTCACTATTGGTTGCTGACGTTTGATGATATTCTTGAAAACGAACTTGCAATGAACTTTCAGTATTTGTTCTCGGAATTTTGGCGTGCTGTAACTCTAGTATGAGTACTTTGACTGCCAATCGAGCTATGGTACGATCATTGTTCATATTAGGCACACGACCAATATTCGCTTCGCACAATCAACATTGATCTGTATACAATTCCACCGTAGAGTTGGGATCAAAAGTTGATGTTTGATCATTAGCCAGTGCATAAACAATCAAGCGATTATTAGCATAGACCGGTAGTAATTTTGTCGAAGCATGCATCACCGTTGTATTTATATTCCATTTTACTTGAATATTAGTTATACAAGATTGTAGAGCTTTTTGTAATTGATCACCAATGTATATATCGACATTTTCATTAGGATGGATAAAAACAAAACGACCATTAGTTGTACGTGCAAGACCTTTAATCAGCGAATGACTAGGTGAATGACCCAAGCCGAATGAAAAAATTCGCGTGAAATTCGATATTGAACGACAAAGATCGAGTACTTCATTAACATTCGATATTTCTCCATCAGTCAAAAGAAAGATTTGTCGAGTATGACCTTGTTTTAGTCGATTTT